TGATAATGGCTAACGCTTACAGTAAGTTTCTGTGCAGTTAGCTCATTCAATGCTTACACCAACCCGATGAGGAGATTCTATCGTTACGATCCCATTTCACAGATGAGGAAACCAAGGCCCAAAGTGGTAAAGCAGGTTGCCCAGGGCCCCAGAGTTAGTAAGTGCGGGCAACCTGATGCAGCCCCCGTCCCCCAGCCCTCGGCACAGCCCACTCAGCACTCAGGGAGTTTACGTGAGGCTTCTGACCGCTGTGGCTTGAGGGTAGACCTTTCCCTCTGAGGCCTCGGTTTCCCCAGCTATGGAACCAAGGGGACAAGCCGGGCACTCTGAGGAGTCCCTTCCGAGTTCTGTGACGGGATGGATGTTTTCCACTGCTCTGCCGTCATCACGGGCCTTGCCCGTGGACACTCTGGCTCAAGTGACTGTTCAGCTCGTGGCTTGCGGTTTTCAACCCCAGGCTCCTGCCCGCTTGCATGTCCTGGCTCTTCGCCTAGGGACTGACTAGTCCACCAAGGCCTCTGGACTTGTCCCTCTGCGTGTCAGTGGTCACTCTCAGAGCCTCTCATTCCTGGAGGCCCGGACAGCAATTTCTGCAGCTGTAAAAACTTTGTCGTTTGGGACAGTGGGCTGGAGGGGGAGAGGAGGTGGGGGGGAGAGTAAACCATCCAGACACAGCCTACCCCCACCAAGAGGGCTAGAGAGTGGTTCCCTGATTTCTGGAGTAACCTCCTTCTGCAGCTGCCCAAGGGGGAAGGTAACTCCTGGTTCTGAAACGTGTGGCCAGGACACCTTCCTCCCGTTCAGGGCAGGGAGGGAGCCGGGACGGTGAAGGGAAATAGACCTTGAACTGTTAGAACTTTGCGATCTTGGGCAAGTCGATCAACCTCTCTGGGTCTCAGTTGTCTCATCTGTCAAATGGGGATACCCAGGGAAGGGAATGAGAAGTTGTAAGTTGGGGCAGAGGGTTTGCTTCCGGTCTAATCGTTGGTGATGGTCTGGATGATGAGCCGTGGGGGTTCTAAGTGGATTGTACGGATGTAGATGTTAGAAGGTTATAATAACAGACAGCTACCATTTTTAGCATTTACACGGTGTCAGGCGCTGCGTTAAGCACTTCGCATATTCTCACTTACATACTGTAGTTACCGGGACAAGACTATGAGATGTTTGTATCTTTCCTACAGACAAGGAAACCGAGGAACAGATGAATTAAATAATTTTCGCACAGCTACTAAGCGGGTCAGACACAGGAAGCCAACTCGTCCTCTTTGTGTTTCTGTTTCTGCTTTTCTTCCAAACATCTGGGCTGGCCTCTCCATCTCTGTCTCCTCCGCCTGCGGACCCAGACTCAGGAGTCGTGGATTCTGGACAGAGAGGGTACTTGCCCACTAGGCATGGCCGGGCCCTGAGGCTGGGCAAGGATGTGGGGGGCAGACGCCCGGAGGGAGGAAGCTGTGGGTTGTGCATGAGCAGAAACCAAGAATCCCAAGCTCGTAGGTGGGGTGGGAGCTGGCAGCCCAGCCAATGAAACTCCTGTTCCTGCCGCCCACTCGCCTTCCTCCCCTGGCCTGGCCAAAGGCATGGTCCACACAGCTGCCCTAAGCCCAGGGCCAGCAAGGGCTGCCTACCCACACACGACTGGGTCAGCTGCTTCCCCCAGCCCTGGTCACTACGGCTCAAGAATTTGTCATGTTTAGCTCTAAGGAAAAGTGTAATTCCAATCTCTGAGTCCTCCCCGCCCCCACCCCCAGTCTTTGTCACACACAGGCGCACACTTTTGCAAAGTGGCCTTACCATTTCAGGGGTCAGAGTGGAGAAAGGCGTTCTGGCCGAATGTCAGGCCTCTCCATTCGTGCTGCAGATGTTTATTGAGCACCTACTAGATGCCGGACACTGCCGGGTGCCGAGACAGTAAACATGTGCTCCTAGAGCTAGTGGCCAAGGGCCTGCCTCCTCCCAGCACCCTTCCAACACCCATTCCCTGGGGTCGCTCCTCAGCTCCGTGCAGGGAGGAAACCCAAGCAGCCTCCACTGTGAACTTCAACTCCAGTTCGGCCACTTGCTAGCCATGCCGCTTTGAGCACGTTATTTATCCTCTCTGAGTCTCAATTCAGTCACTCAGCCTGCGAATATTTATCGAGCACCTACTATGTGGAACCTATATTCTCTCAGGGAGAGACAGGTGATAGGCAATGCTCTTAATAAGTAACTACACTGTAAATTGTGTTAGGTGATTCGGCCACGGAAGGTAAAGTGGATCGGAAGCAGAGGCAGGGGCTGCGGTGGGCAGGACGGGCGGGGCTGGCCGTATTGAGAAGGTGACAGTTGAGCAGAGGCTTAGAGGAGGTGAGGGAGAGAGCCGAGCAGATATGGGGGGGTGAGCCCTCCAGGCGGGGGACCCAGCTAGAGCAAAGTCCCCGGTGGCAGCAGGCCTGGCATGGGGGAGGCATGGAAAGGAGGCTGGGGTAGCCGCGGTGCCCAATCTATTTGTGTCTGGGGGTCACAAATAAAGTAGCCTGCTAGATGGTGCTGAGTGCTCAGGAGGAAACTGGCTCCATCAGTGAGAAGGCCCTGCGGGTGGGTCCTGAGTGGGCGTCATCACGCACCACGCCGCAGTCCACGCTGTGCTCGTGTCTTTGCTCCGATCGCTGCCTGGCTGTTCTGTGTTCGTCTGTGTGTGATTCGTCTCCAAGACCAAGGCCCGTGTGCCATTCCTTGAATCCAGTCTGCCCGGATCCCTAGACGTGGCAGGTGCGTGTTACGCACAGACTCCAGGCTGATGCAGGATTTGGGCCTTGGCTGAGCCGCCCCACGAAGGCGTCTTGGTCCCTAAAGCAGCAGAAGGAGGGTACATAGGGGCGGTGTCGTGAGTCGGACGTAGGCTGGATGGGCTGGGGACAGCCGTGGAAAAGAACCGTGGGAGGGAGCCAAGAGGAAGGGACAGAGCGAGCGGGGAGGTGGGCAGCCTCCCCGGCAGCAGAAGCTTCCAGCTCCAGCTAAGTCGAGGTGGAGCTGCACGTGGTGCACGGTGACGAGGCCCCGAGTCAGGCTGTGGCCAAGCCCTCTGGACCCCGTGGGCCCTGGTGCTGCCCTCCACCAGGCTGCCCGAGGTACAGACCCCAGAGTCTGATAGACCCAGGGTCCAAACCAACCCTGCACTTCCTCAGCCGCTTGGGCCTTTAGAAGTATTATTTCACCTCCCTGATCCTCCTGTTCTCACTTATAAAATCAGAATCATAGTGAGGATTTGATGGGATAGCACAGTTCCTGCCAAAACAAGGGGGCAATCAGAGCCCCCCCTCAGCCCAGCGAGGGCAGCCACGTTGGCTCATGGGTTCCTCCTTCTCTGTCAAAGGGCGCTGAGTTAACCCGGAGGCATTTCAACCCTGGAAGGGATTATTTCCTGCCTCACGCTCAGTCACACCTGTCGCTTACCGAGCACTGGTGGAGAGCCTGGTGCTCAGTGCTCGCAGCGGGGTACCCCCGTTGAGGGGGAGGTGCCTGAGGAGATGGCTGCCCATGTGCTCTTGTCACAGCTAGTAAGGAGGGGACTGACATCCAAACACAGAGTGCTTGACCGTCGTTTAGGTTCTCGTCATTCTATTCTACTTGCAGCCTCTTGGGGATTTACATTGTAGACCGGAAAGGTAGTGAGTTCCCCATCCTGGGAGGTGTGTAAGTACAGACGTGGTCATCGGTTAGTGGGAAATAGCAAGAATTTAGAAACAGATTGAGCGACTGACCTAGATAACATTTAACATCACTTCGAACACGGACTTCCCATAATTTTAGGAGAAAGACCTTGATCTTGCTCACCTGCTCCCTCGCTGCCTCAGCACAGAGCAGTGTGCACCGTGGCCCCTCGAAAACCGTTGAATGAATGAGCGAATGCAGGAGCGATGCTGCGTCCAGTTGGCTCAGTCACGTGGAGAGTGAGGTCCAGAGAAGAGAGGGGATTTGGGGAGTCTGGCACCATGATGGGAACACACCCTCTGCTCCCCCGTCTGCCTGCAGGTTCTAGGGCTGCTTGAAAGTTAACAAGGGAGGTCAGATTCCCGGCCCTGTGCCCGCAGTGTAGGTGCTTACGAACTGGTAGCTTTTTGTCTCAGCGCGGATGAATGCCTGCTCTCTGGCCATATGTAAGGGTTGGGGTCAGGAGGCAGACTCCAAGTGAGATGGAGCTCACTCTGCTGTGGGAAGCTCAGTTTCCTCTTCTGTAAAATGGGAGTAATAGTATAGCTATCTCTTGGGCTTGTTGGGGGATCCAAAGAGATCCTGTGGGTAAGTGCTTCATTCTGGAGGCTTCTATTAGCATCCTTGACCCTCTCCCTTCATCTGGTTATGAAAGAACTCATTGGAGTCTCAGAGCATCGGACGGGAAGGTGGTCCCTGTTTTACAGGTGAGGATACACGGGAGAGGGGTACGTGACTTCCCAAGTAATGTACAGTCATTTTCTGGCCAGAGAAGAGACTAGTAAAATGACAGCTGTTTGTTGAGCGCTCGCTGTGTGCCAAGAGTCACACGTACACTCTCCTTGGATCGTCACATAAACTCTGGGACGTAGCTGTGAAAATTATGCTCATTCAGAGATAAAGCAATAGAGGTACAGAGAGGAATTAATATGCTGGCGTCACACACCTAAGAAGGTAATGCTGGAGCCAGGCAGCTTGTCTTTGGGGCTCTTGGCCTCATGAGCCCCAGACTTGGGGTACCCTGGGGGAGGCCCGGGTAATTCAGAGGCTGACTGAGAGTGTCTCGTCTTCTAGAGCAGACTCTCTGGCCCTACCCCGAGCTGCCCAGCGTACGTCGTACCCACAGGGCGGCCTCTGCAGATCTGCCCTGAGGGTTGACGGGAGGCCAGGACAAACATTGGAGCCTCCTGCCCTGCCCCGCCAAGTCCAGCCAGCTGGCGGGACAGGAGGCACGGCGCAGTGGGCTTATGTGCTGCTGAATTCTGCCTGCTGACCCTGTGCTCAGCGCTGTCCTCTTGGCTCTGTAGGAGTTTCTCTGTGACCAGAAATACAGTGATGAAGAGAACCTGCCAGAAAAGCTTGCGGCCTTCAAAGGTAAGCTGGGGTTGCCCCCCTCCAACCCCCCATCTCTCACACAGGACTCTTTACCTGCACAGGGCCAGGCTGCACACCTGTTTCATCTAGAATGCCTCCCTTCCTGCTGGGCTGTGAGACAGGGTGCCTGGCAGGCCTCTCCACCTTCCTCCCTGCCACCCCGGGCCCCCTCACCCCTCGCCCCTTGCCTGCAGGCCCCAGCCTGCCGCTGCCCCTCTCTGCCCCAGCCGCCCCACAGGGCTCAGGTTGGCTCCTGTCACCACTGGCCAGGCCCTGCTCGCTCCCGGGGCCCCAGCGCACAATCGGCTCTTTGTCGCAGCCCCGGCCTCTCCCCTCTGCGGTGGAGCGTCTCGGAGCCCCTGTGGAGAATGGACGTTTGTGTCGCCACAGTGGGACAGGGGGCAGAGTTTCTGCCCATTGAATCCGGCAGCACGAGATGAAAAGAAAACAGGGCCCAGGAGCCCGCACGGAGGGGGCGGCATAAAGGTCCCTCTGTTCAGGCCTCGGCGCTTGGTTCCCAGCCAGCGGCTCGAAAGGAGAGGAACCGCATTCGCGCAGAGGGCCAGACCCACCTTTCCTGCCGGGGCGCTGCCTCCAGGCAGGAGCCCTGGGCGCCCTGGAGGACCAGGGCCAAGATCCTCGAGGCCACCTCCCCGCCTCAAAGTCCTAGCGATGTGGACATTTTTCCTGCTCCGGGGCAGAGAACCTGCCAGGTGCTCCTCAGACCGCTTACGACTTAGTCGTCCTTGGGCAGGATGTGGATGGCTAAGCGTTTGTCAAACACTGACCTCGTGGGAAGCACGTCGAATGCTGAGTCGTGAGCTTCCCAAATCGTCCCGATCTGGCCAGGAAGGAGATGCTGTGATCTTTAATTTCCAGAGGAAGAAATTTAGGCTCAGAGACGTGGGGTCATTTGCCTGGGGTCGCACAGCCCACTTAAGATAGAGGTGGGTCTTGAACCCATATTGGTCTCACTCTAAAGCCTCTGCTCTTAACCATTATGCAGTGGTGCTTTTTACATTGAAAAAAAGTAAAGAACCAGAACAAAGACACCCCGATCTCTTCCCTGTCACCCCCTCCAACCTGTGCTACCTGCCCTTACGAGAGCCTCACAAAAGAGGAGCAGTTCCTCCCTTCTCTCTGGATACCAATGGGGTCACTCTTTAGAGGTGGCTCTGGGAGGAGGGACAGTGGTCTTGGGAAGAGTAGGTGCTTGTTGGGAGGGTGCCCTATTAGAAGACTAAAGGGCGCTGTGACTACCTAGGAGGGGCATTCCAGGCAGAGGGGCGGCAGGAGAGGTCGGGGACAGGCCAGCGGGAGTGGAGCAGACGGGGCGGAGGGAGAGGCAGCCTGACAGGCTGGAGGGCAGATGCTCCTGAAGGTCACAGGGGCCTCGAAGGCCACTGGGAGGACCTTGGCTTTCTCATGCTGGCTGCTCTGTGCAGAAGAGACCATAAGGGCCCTGATCCTCTGTGGCAGGGGCGACTTGCCTAAGGCCACAGGACATGCTCGCACATACTGCCCGTGTCAGAAGATGCCAAGATGTTCCCAGTCATCCTTTCTTGCCTTTGGAGGTTCCCCGGACTCGTTGATCGGGGAGGTTAACTCAGAATGTAGATGAGGTTTCTGGGGAGGGTCCGTGTAACCCTGGACAGTGTACGTGCCACTTTGTGGTCAAGGGCAGGCCCACAGGCATTCCTCCCGAAAGAGCATCAGCTTTTCAGTGCTGCGCATGACCAAGAGGTTCAGACCCACACCTTAAATTGGTGGTTCCCACACCTGGCTGCCTGTCAGAAGCACCTGAGACACTCTGAAAACACACCAGTTCCTACTCCCATCTCCCCTTTCCCAAACCCACTGAACCCTATCTCCAGGGCTGGAATCTCTTGTAGTCGCTCTGTAGCACTGGGGGAACCCGGGAGGAAATGACTGCTCTCCTTGGCACAGGGACACAGTGGCCCCCTGTGGGAGGGGTGCAGGCAGGACGAGGTAGCTCTTTAGAGATGACAGCTGAGATCACGGATCTGGAATCAAGACCCCCACCTGGGGTGAGGAGTTAGGCGCGGGCTCCCCGAGAACCTGGCCGGTTCCCCTCCGGGGAGCCACTGGGACCTTGCAGGAGTGGCCCTGCTTACAAGCTGATGCCAGTTTTTGCTCTGTGATTTGCAGAGAAGTACATGGAGTTTGACTTGAACAATGAAGGCGAGATCGGTGAGTGAGGCCTTGAGTGTGTTGGGGGAAGAGGGCGTTTGGTGGGTAGAGGGTGTGAGGGTCCTGAGGGCCCCACAGACCTCCCTGTGGGGATGAAATGTCATGAGTGTGACGAACACACGCTGAAGCCTCCTGGGTGGGCCGGGCCAGGAGAGCTTGCCTGGAGCTCATCTGCCGTTACCCTGGAAAACACTGCCCCCAAACTGCCCCCTGCCATTTCCCTCCGCACTCGCCTCCCTGCCCACGCCTCAGCCTCTCACCCCAGGGGACCCAGAATAGAGGATGTCACCCCTGCCCAGGGCCGGAGATGCTCTGGCTGTCGATGCCCTTGCCTGGGGACCTGTCCTCCTATCCGTACACTATCCTGCAGTTGACAAAGTGCCTCAGGTACACTAGTTCTCTCCTCCAACAGACCCTTATTGTGTCCTGCCATCCAGACACTGGGGATGACAAACACCTGTCCCGTAGCACTTATGTTCAAGACCATAATGGGATGGTCTTGGGATGATATTGCCAAGCAATGGGATGATATTGCCAAGGCTGATTTAATTATCCCCACTTTACGGATGAGGAAACCGAGGCTCAGGACGATGACACGACCTGCTCGGGGCACGTGGCAGGCCCAGGGCCCAGATCCTGGCCTTTGGCTTCCAGGCGGGTCTCCGGGCTCTGCTTCACTCTGAATTCCAATGCTTCTCCCTCCGGCATTTCAACTCCTCCTCTGTCTTCTCTTGTTCTTCTCCTGTTTGAATATTTTTATTCTTTTTTTTTCTTTAGAAAAAAAATCGGGGTGTTATCAAGTTAATACATTTTCATCGTAAAACGTTTTGGAAAGCACAGCAAAGCCCAAAGACAAAAATACCTCGCCCGCGACCCCACCTCCCAAAAATAACTGCTATAAGCATTTAAGTTTATACCCTTCCACTTGCTGTTCTAATCACAGCTGTTATTTTATACCATTGTAGAACCTCCTTTATGGAAAAAAAACAGTATTGCGAGTCCTTTGAATATGATTCACTTTTGTTTTGAAATATGATTAATGGCTGAATAATACTTCATCATGGGGATAGACTATAATTTATTCGGCAAATACCTTAGTCATTGATAAGCCCATGAAGAACATCTTTGTACGTGAATCTTTGTCCGCATCACTGATTATTTCTTTAGAGTAAATCTCAGGAATTAGACATTCTGGGTCAAAAGCTTTTGAAGCATTTTGCCAATGGCCTTCTAGAAAGGTCCTGCCAACTTAGAGTCTGGCCAGCAGCTCGTGGGAGACCTTCCACTTCTTCCTGCAGAACGCTGCCCAGCTTTCTTTGAAATGCCCTGGACATCCTGGCACCTAGGGCTCTGGCACCAGTCCTGCCTGCCCTGCCTCTCGGGCGAGCTGGCGCACCACTCCCCGGCCCCTAAAATCAGCCCCTTGCTGCGCCCCCATTCCCAGCATCCTTTGCTGTCCTATTGTTCACAGAACAATCTCAAGGAAATTGCCTCAGATGTTGGGAGCCAGGCGGTCAGAGGCAGCGAGCGACTCCTCGGGGTGTAGTGACTTTTTGGTGCCTCCCTTGTTTTTCTTGAATTTTATTCCTTTGTTGGTTTTCCTGCACCGCAGGATATTTTTGTCGCCCTCCCCCTTCTGGCCACAGTGGAGCCCTAGGACTGCGGGGTGGGAGTGGCAGATGCGGAGAGTGACCTTCGGTGCCTGGGATCAGGCCGACTACCTGGCCCCACCTCGCTGGGGAGTGGGTCCATAGCCCCCCATAACTGCAGGATGCCGCAGGGATGTTGACAGTAAGAAGAGCGGCTCCATTACTGTACACCTGCTCTGTGCCAGGCGCTTCTTGTGCGTCGTCCCTCCATCAACCCATTTTTACCACTGCTGGGAGCAGGGATTCAGAGAGGTGAAGTAATTTGCCCCAAGTCTCATAGCCAGAAATAGCAGAGCTGATTCCATCCCAAATCTGTTTGACTCTAGAAGCCCGTGTCCCTAACCGCTCGTCTCCACTGTCCCCAAAGAGAGCAGGGAGGGTGTGTGGTGGGCTCATTCTCCCTAGAGGAGAAAGGCCGTGGACTGTAGTCTCCAGGGAGGGGCTGTTCTGTCGGACTTCAGGGAGCTTTGCCAGCTTCCCCGTGCGCCCCCACTGCGCCTGTCGCCACTGAATGGATCTGCTTTTCCTCCGGCAGACCTGATGTCTTTAAAGAGGATGATGGAGAAGCTTGGGGTCCCCAAGACCCACCTGGAGATGAAGAAGATGATCTCAGAGGTGACAGGTGGGGTCAGCGACACCATCTCCTACAGAGACTTTGTGAACATGATGCTGGGGAAACGGTCGGCTGTTCTCAAGCTGTGAGTACCTCCCCCCCGTCTCCTTGGGCCTCTGATGGTGAAGTCATTGTGTATGGAGAGACCCCTGGCTCGGGCACCTTAGCCAGTCCCCAGCCAGGAGGTAACTCATCGTGTGACCTGCTAGGCGGGATCTTCTCTGAACCTGATTTCCTTATCTGTCAAATGGTCACATGAATACGTACCTGGCAGGTGGAATTAGCCTGTAGCAGAGAGTCTGGTGCAATCAGGGCTCAGTAAGTGGCAGCTGTGATAGTGTTGATGATGGCGATGATGATAATGATGATCAATCTGCGGGTGAAATTTTTCGAATCTCGATTTCTTCATTTGTAAAGTGACTACACTCCACGAGGTGGTTGTGAGTAGAATGTAGTTAAAAACTGACTCTAAAGGAAGGTAGGGTTTGAGTTTTGTTATTTATCTGTAAGATAGAGATATAATAAATATCTTTCGTGAAGCGTTGTCCTGAGGTTTAATGACATAACACGCATGGAGAGTCTAGCGCAGTACCTGGCTAATGGCACCGTGTACACGGTGGCCAAACACCACACTCCAAACGTCTGTTCTTCCCCGCTGAGCTGCTGCAGAGTCTCATGGTATTTGAGCTGAAAAGGACCTCACTTGGCTTCTTTGAAATAAGATTAACTTTTTTTTTTTCAAATGTGCAAATGTCAGATATACCTGTCTCATTCTACAGAGGGAAAGTCGAGGCCCCAGGAAGCTGAGCAACCAGCTCGTGAGTCCACAGTTTAGACGGGTCAGAGCTTTTAGTGTGGGCAGAGTGGGGGAGGAGGTGCGGTGAGGAGACCGTCAAGCTCAGTGCACGCTGCAGAGGCCAGGTGGTAGCGATCAGAGTGATGATGCTATTAGACAACACCGCAGAGTTAGTGGACACTTACTATATGTCAGGCACTTGTCTGTGTATTGACTCCTTAGATTTATCATTTGTTAATTTGGCATCTATTTACTGGGCACCGCCTATATGCCAGGAATTATTCGAGGTGCCAGGGACACGCGTTGCTGGCCTCGTGGACCTTACATGCTAATGGCAGGAGACAGACAAACGAAAACAAACCAAAACGCCAAATCGCAATCGTGTAGTACAAAGAAAAATAAAGTGGGCAAGAGGAACAGAGAGGGATGGGTTGGTGGGCAGCGAGAGTCTCGCTGAGAAGGCGACATTTGCTCAGAGCCCTGACTGAGGGAGATGGGAAGAGTCAAACTGTGTGACGATCTGGGGAAAAGCATTCCAGGCAGAGGACACAGCACGTGCAAAGGCCCTGAGGTAGAATCATGCTTGTATGCTCAAGGAAGAGCCCAGAGCCAGTGTGTCTAGCCATCAGGAAGGACAGTGAATGAAGAATGAGTCTGCAGAGATGGCCTGGGGCCAGGGGACTGTGTAGGGGCCACGTAGGCCACAGTTGGACCTAACATTTTGTACTAATGTGGAGGGGCGCCATTGGAGTACTCTAAGCTAGAGACTGACTTTTAAAAGGCCCCCTCTGGCTGCGGCAGGGAGGCCCGTGCAGTGGGGTGGGCAGGAGCTCCTAGAACTGGGGGTGATTGTTGGAGGTAAAGCTGGAAGCATTGTTTAAACGTCCAGACGCCGGGTGTAGAGGAAAGCAAGGCGTCCGATGAGTCTAAAGTCTGGGCTCTGAGTTACTGATTGACTGTGATGTTTGCCTGGGGAAAGAGCAGGTGGGGAAGGTGGGAATTAAGAATTCCGTTTTTGATGTTTTAAAGCAGAAGTGCCCTTCAGACATCCCAGGGGAGAGGCTGAGGAGGGAGCAGGATGTGTGGATCTGGAGCTCAGAGATAAGCTCCAGTTTGGGGAAGGTCACTCTTTGGATGGGATTTAAGGGGACTGGAAGAAAGAGCCTACTCAGAGAGTAACTACAGATGGAGTAGGGTACTGATGTTTGGGGCAGCTCCAGGACGTAAGCACTTCTGGCACCCTCCCCTCCAGATGGAGACACTGAGCATCAGTGGGGTTAAGTGTCTCCCTGGAGTCACCAGCTGGGTAGTAGTGGGGCTAGGACTCAAATCCAGGCTGTGTCCCTCCAGTGGCTACACCAGGAACCCCTATCCGCTACTCCCCGGACTTTATCTCAGAGCAGTGGGAGGTTTTGAGCATCCGAGGGGGTTTTGAGCAGAGTCATGGCCCAGCCTAGCACCGCCTCCTCCAGGCAGCATGGCCTCGAAGTCAGATCTGCAGTCTCGTCCTGCTCAGACTGCTTGTGTGGCTCTGAGGAGCCACGTTGCCACTTTGCGCCTCAGTTTGCTCCTCTGTAAGATGAGACGTAGCTGCCGTCCCCGGTTTCCGAGAAGATCCCACTGGGGAATGGACGATGGGCATTCTGCTGAGGACCCCACAGGCATGAGGGCTGATGAGCTTCCTTGGATGAGGGAAGGAGTCCTAATCCTGTTTTTTTCCTCTCTCTTTCTCCATCTCCAAACCAGAGTCATGATGTTTGAAGGAAAAGCCAACGAGAGCAGCCCCAGGCCAGTTGGGCCCCCTCCAGAGAGAGACATTGCCAGCCTGCCGTGAGGACCCCACCAACACCTGCTCCTGCCTTCCCCACCCCTCTCCCTCCCTCCTGAGCTCACTGCCCTTCTGGACTCATTGTGATTTGTCTTGTTTTTTTTTTTTTTGGTCGTTAGGTGTGTTGATTTGTTTTTCATCTGCAGAATCAGTGATATCTTTGTAAAGCACAAATTATATGCCTTAAAGGGGCTCTGGGCCACCCCCTACCTCTTCTCCCCTCCTTCTCTGCTTCCTGTGCAGAAGGGTTGACATCAAACCAAAAACCGGAGCGGGCAGGGCCAGGGCAGAGAGGCTGGTAGCTAGTGAGCCCTACGCTTGGAGCTGGCATTGTCAGCTAAGCCTAGACTCGCTGGCCTGCCCCTAGCGAGGACCACAGACTACTTCCAGAAGACCTCGAAGTAGGGACAAGGCCGTAGGGCCCTGCTCGGGTTCCCTCAGACACTCTGAGGTTCTGGTGCTCTCACGTTGTCCAGGAGGTGGCCACTCACCACCCCAAGCCCCAGCTAATCCCCCCTCAGGCCATACTTCTCTCCCTCAGGGAGGTGACAGAAGGAGCTCCGGAGAGGGGCTTGGCATTTGAGATTCTCAAGAAGGTTGTGGAAGGAATCTTCTGCCCTTGCCCCCTGGCCACGCCCTCGTAGGCAGCTCAGAGGGAGCCTTTGCTGGGGGACCAAAGGGCTTCAGGGGTAGAGGGGAGGCTAGGGTCTTTGGGGAGGGTGGTCTGCTCAATTTAGTCCCACCTTTTAGGGAGGATGCTGAGGGCAAGGGGATAGGAGAATGAGGAATAAAACGCTTATGGCAAAAAGTGTCAGCACCACTGTTAAGCCAAGACCTAAGAGACAGGTTGCCTTTCTGAACCCAGTTTGCTTGAAAACTGCCTGTGCATCCCCATTCACCTTCCCACCTGATTCACACCATTCATTCATTCATTCATTCATTCATTCAACAGATATTTATTGACCACCTATTATAAGCTTTAAGCTCCTCCCCCACTTTGTCCTGACACGTGCCGAGTCCTCTGTCTCTCTAACTCATCTCTCCATTTCCAGATCGCCCAAACCTTGAGCGTGGGGATGCGATCGGGGTTACCTGGTTCTTTATTATGGACTCACAGGGTTTTAGAGCCCCGATCCACCCTGTAGGTTAGCTGAGCCAGTCCTCTCATGTCACAAGTGAGAAAACTGGTGGCCCACAGGGATTAAGTGCCTTGCCCCAGGTCGGGGGTTAATCTGGAGACAGAATAGTCTGGACTGAAGCCCAGGTGTTCAGATGCCCTGCCCATGCTTCATCTCTGCTCTGGGCTCCCTCGGTGAGTGATGAAAACAAGGTACGGGGCAGGGAGAGGCAGTCTCCTAGGTCGGCATTTGGGCCAGGACTCGCTTTTCCCAGCGCCTCCAAGACAGCATCCAGGTTTGGATGAGCGCCAGGCCTGCCTCTGCACTTCTGCCTTCCCTAGAGCTTCTCAGCTAAGCCACTTCTTGGAACTCATGCAGGAAGATGTCACACTCTGCCCCATCTTGGCTGAGCAGGGACCTCAGCCTTGACCCCACTTGCCTTCTGGAGTCCCTTACTCTGCTCACTCAGAGAGACGCGTTCATCAATTGAACATATTTATTATGCACCTGCTATGGGCCAAGAGACAAGAACGCAGTAGTGAAATTCAGAGTCTGATGAGGAGGTCAGACTCAGGGATGAGTGACATGAATGTTAGCAAAGAGAGATATGGGGTGACTGCACTGCAATCCTGGGGCGCCAAGCCAGGCTAAAGGCAAGAGTCTTGGAGAAGCCTTTGCCAAATCTTAAGTGGCAATGTCTGGGTGCGGTTGGAGCCAGTGTGGGCTCCCTGTGATTCCTCAGTGACCCGTAAACTAGGGCGCAAGGAGCTACCCTTGTAGCAGCTTGAGGTTGCGGAGCCGGCAGGGGCAGGGGAAATGGCTTGGCTGGGTTAATTTGCTGGTCTCAGCCAGTTCAGGAGCAAGATTATTTGGCTGTGACTGGCTGATCTTCAGGCTAAGGAGCTGCTCAAATGCACACAGCTAGTTGAAGTTTAAACCCCAGCAAAACAGTTTTCCCTGTAAATGTAAAATCACGCCTCATCCCACCCCTTTGGTTTGTTTCCCCCTGAGATCATTGTTTGAGCAACTGCCTGTCCCCCACCCCTTTCTACTATCTCTTCTCTCTGAGACAGGATGAGATCTTAGAACAAGGTAAAAACCTTCCTTGGCTATTCATCATGGTCAGTGCACCTGATCCTCACTCAGAGAGGAGGGCAGAACCAACCAGGCTTATTTCAACAGGTTCCAGTTTACAAGACCACGGGAAGCCTCCTTAAAGGAGAGCAAGTGGGTTTGTCCCCAGCTTCTGCAAACAGCAGGAAAGAGCTCTCACTGGATGGGAATGTCCTGGGAAACCCCACCACTTCCTTTACCATTTCTTGGAACTCAACTCGGGGAGAGAGAGAGGCTTAAGAGCCTTCTCTGGCAAAGGGGAGGGGGGACATGCATTTATTTCAGGTTGTGGCTATTGGCTCTAGGACTCATTTCTCTGGTTAAGGGCTCCGCTGCTTAGAACTTCAGCTGTCCTTCTGAAAGACCAAATCTAACTTAATGTAACCAGAAACTTGGGGACTGCCACGTATGGCTTTGTCTCTGCGACTCAAAAGGAGTGTATTGGGCAAGTTCAACTGGATGCAGTACGTGTGTGCGTGTGCATGAGGTGTGTGTGGTGCCTAACATCATCTCTGCATACTGGAAATAAACCAAACTTCTCAATGTCTTGATTGGTGTGTTTTGGGAAGGGGTTCCTGGGCTCAACGAATTCGGAATAGCTAGCTAACAGAATAACAGGTCGAATGAATGCGTCCTGTGTACCAGCCTCTTAAATGGAGCTTCATTTACACCTCACGAAAATCCCACGGGACAGGTTCTGTTTGTCATTTATTGTCATAAATGAGAAGCACGCTTGGAGCAGACGGAGTTTGCTGAAAACCAAACAATAAGTGGCAGAACATACTCCCTCCCCAAGATCCTCTGTCCTAGAACATTTATAGTATAAATCCACTACAGAACTTTCTACGCAGTAGTCAGCAATTAGCATATCCAGACAAGCTGAATTCTAATACTGCCTCCACCACTTTCTGACCGAGGTGCACTGGGTCATTTTAACTTCCTTGTAGCTTCCGTTACCTTATCAATTAAACGCCAATAACTCCTAGGTGACTAAGATGTCTTGATGATTAAATAACATATCCAAAGTGTTTTGCGGTTTCCAGGAAAGGAATAAACAAAGACGCTCTTTGATGCCCTTTAACCTCCCCTTTCGCGTTCGGCGCTTAGACGCGTAAAAGTCTCCGTTGCGAGACCCCACCCCGCCCACTTTTTGAACCTCTTTTCCTCCACGTCCCCCCTCCAAAGCCTCTCTCAAGAGTTGCCCCTGGAAATATTTGTCAAGGTCCTAACGTCTCTGAATCGGGAATTATTAATAACCACCTACAACCAAGGGTTACAGGGGGTCTTAACCAATGGCTGACCGCGGAGCTCTCGGGAGCGCCGCCCACCGAAAGAAACAAACTCGAAGCTAGCCCGCAGGTGCTGCGAGCACGGGGGCGGTGCCTGGGCACTCCAGGGCGCAGGCGCGGGCTCCAGGGCCCCGCCCCCTACCGGCCCGAGCCGGCCAATGGGAGGCGGCGGCCAGGAGAGCGCGCGACTTCAGATGGTCCCTCAGCCTGCCCGAACCACACCGCCGACGGAAAACGCGTGACGTCACCAAGGCGCGCCGGAAATGCGGGATCCATTGCGCGCAGCTCGCTCTGAGGGAAGGAAGTTGGCCTCGGAGCGGCCTGGACTTTGCGGGCAAGGCCGCGGGGCCGCAGCGGTGGCTGCTTCGACCATCTGAGGGCGGCGCGATGGGAGACGAGATGGATACCATGATCCCCGAGCGGGAGATGAAGGTCAGATACTGGCCAGGGCCTGCCCTCCTCCCTTCGTCCCGGCGTTGCTTTGGCGCCCCGCCGAACGGGGAAGCGTGGGTGCCGGCTGCCCCGCCTCCCGCTTGAACGATTGCGGCGTTCAGAGTTCTCACCCGAGCGTCCCGGAGCACTCTGCCGTGCTGCCCGCGCAATAGCCTTGCCGAATGCAGTGTCCCTGTCCCTTGTTGGTCTTGTGCGCGCCACCCGAGTTATTCTAGCCACTTTCGTTTGGCGGTCTGAGTAGTGATTATAACTGCTGCGTATTGAGCGTTTACTGTGTGTCTGGCTCTGTGGTAGTCACACAGCAAACCTAACAAATAGTTGTTAATGTAAAAGAGCAAATCGAGGCTCGGAAAGTAACGCCCAAAGTCACATTTGACAAGGACGCTGAAATCCAGGTTTTTCTGTTTTTTGTTTTTTTTTTTTTAAAAAGGCCTCTCTTCCTCACTTTCACTGGACTACTTGTGTAAAGTAGTCCAAGCTTGCCTAACGCAGAACCAGGGTTCATTACCTACCCTTTAGTTAATTGGAACGGGAGGACTATTTCGGTGCTGGAAATTCGCCTCAAGTCAGGAAACTGAGAGAGAAGAGAGGGCCAGGTGAACCCAATGATGGTTATAAACCACAGTGGTTGAAAGGGAGTAAGTGGAGTGAAGATTTTAGGCGTTTGAGCAACAAATCACCGAAGTGCATTTAGGGAGTAGTGATCTATACAATAATGATAGTAGTGATTCTCTTTATTGAGTGAGCCACTCAATGAGAGTGTGCCATACTCAGAAATACTGGGGCAGAAGGAGAAAAATGTTTTAAAACCACAGACTTTGAAGATGGTAGCATCCTTTTGAGATACCAGTTACAGTGGAAAGGAGAGCACTCTAGGGCCTCTTCATCCCACTGGTGCTCTACATCCATGCGACCAAGAACCAAATAGGATATTTGGGACGATCAGGATGAAAATTACAAAAAAAGATGAAATTTTTTTTCTACCATACTGTGGTCTCATCTAGAAAGCTGTGTAGAATTAAAAGTATTTCAGTTAATATTTTAGCAGATATGCATTAAACATTGACTCCAAGGAAATTAATATGTGCGGTGTGTTAGGAATTCTGTAGGAAATGCTGTAGGTGTACCAAAGTGTCGCTGGCTTTCACACTCGGAAATAGTGGAGGCTGGAGGTCGCGCTGGATGTGGCAGAGGTGATGGCACACTTGTGGAATGGAAATAGAGTGCAATGAGGTGAGGCTGTAGAGGTTGATGGGTCAAGCCATGCCTGGCTTTATAACCTGCGTTAAGAGTTTTGGGCTTGTGTTTAGATGTCCTCATCGCGTCCAGGTGTGTTTATAGGTCTGAACACCAAGAGAATGACTATACATTTCCTTTTCTATGATGGAATTTTGTTTCTCATTGATGCAGGTAAGTCAGTTCTGGGGATTTGGTTATCTTTCTGTAGTCATCGTTTCCATGCGCACGCACGTGTGCGTGCATGCGTGCGTGTGTGCGTGTGCGTGCATGCGTGTGTTGACGGAGTACTGCAGTGGAAGTTCTAGCTTACAGTGTAGTTGGGTGCAGCTTTTAATATTTAACAATTTATTAAGCAGTTCTCTGGGTCACGAGACAATACATGTCATGAAATAGGACAAGATTACAAATAATAAAATGCAGCTTATGTGGTGGTTAAGACTATAAACTAGGAATTCGGAAAAAGAAAAGTTCAATGTGAGCTGGATTAGTAAACGAAGGCCTCGTGAAGGAATTTTTAAAAATTGATTCAACTGAACAAATATGAATAAGCACTATGCACAGGAGGTTTAAATATGTCAGCCATCCAGCCCTTAACCTCAGGGGAACATGTATTTTTGTCATATTGGAATTGGGTCTATTGGAATATAACACATTATTCCTTGTTTTCTCTGAATCGATCTTGTTTTTGATCCCTCACAACAGGATTTTCAGTTCAGAGCACTGAAGAAGGTGAGACTCTTTGACTCCCCTGATGAGTTGCCCAAGGAGCGCTCAAGTCTGCTTGCTGTGTCCAACAAATATGGCCTGGTCTTTGCTGGTGGAGCCAGTGGGTTGCAGATTTTTCCTACTAAAAATCTTCTTATTCAAAACAAACCTGGAGATGATCCCAATAAGATAGGTAAGTTACTTGCTTTATGTTGCATAGTAGAGAAAAAAGTGAAGTACTAATGTACTAATGTAGTTTCCTTTCCAAGAAATCCTTCTAATATTAAAATTAAAACTGCTCTTAGTCCTAAGGTTGACTCCCATGAAGAATAAGTTCTAGATCAGATGCCAGAAGCCTTTCTCATCCTTGGTATTTCTCTTTCAATGAGTTGTTCCTCTGAGCTCAGAGGGAAGAAGAATTTACCGTCTGCCATGTACTTATTTTTGCTTTGTTCTGGCTCCTTAGGAGAAGGGTTTTGTTGCATGGCTCTTTGGTTGGCACAGCAGTACCATCCCAACAAATGGGAATGTGTACTATTTGGAGCATAGGGGTACACGTTGATGATGTTGTGATTTATGAGATATACGTTTGATCTTCATCCATAATTTCTGGTTCACAAGCCCTAGAACTCTTGGAATTTCCTAAGTGTTGGGGAAGAGGGTGTCTTTTGTTGTTAATGAGGTAACTTAGAAAGCACCTAAGGATGGGAGCTGGTTGCCTGTGGAACCACTCTTGTGATTGGAACTTTCAGTACCCCGCCACACATACACACCCACACACCCACACCCACCCCACTCCCTCCAGTGAGGGAGTGGGGGCTGGATATTGAACCAATCACCAGTGACCAATGATTTAATCAGTCCTACCTATGTTATTGAAGCCTGTGGGAAAACCCGAGAGGATGGGGTTTGGAGAATTTCTGGGTTGGTGAACACATGGAGATGCAGGGAGAGTTGCAAGCCTGGAGAGGGCATGGGCACTCCGCACCCCTTCCCATACACCTTCCCTATGCGTCTCTACCATCTGCTGTCCCTAAGTTATGTCCTTTTACAACAGACCACTGATCTAGTCCATAACATTTCTCTGAGTTCTTTGAGTGGTTTTAACAAACTAATCGAACCCAAGGATCGGGTTGTGGTAACCTCTGCTTTCTAGCCAGTTGGTCAGAAGTGCAGGTAAAAATCTGGACTTACAGTTGGCATTCCAAGTCGGAGGGGTTCGTTGAAACCCGTGTCGCCACTTGGTAAGCACAGAGACCCTGGGCTTGTGTCTGAGTCTGAAGCGTGTGTGTTGGGGGTCAGAGGAAGTCTCGTAGGACCAAACTCTTAACATATGGAATCTGATGCTATCTCTGGGTAGATAGTGTCAGAATTGAGTTGAGTTCTCAGACAACTTGCTGATGTCTGAGAATTGTTTGTTGATGTGGGGGAACCCTCTCACCCCATGGAGGAATTGGGTCCAGAACCCAATTTAAGGTCACTGTTTTCAACAAAGGCGAGAGCCACAGTTAGTTTTCCAAGGTTGTGTGAGGAAGAATTCCTGACGCTTGATGCATCATACCACCTGAAGAAAGCTAAGATATATCTGCGCAACTAGGTATCAGGGTGCGTTTGTATGTTTATGTAGATGCAAAAATTGTTTTACATAGACCTGGATAAAGGAGTTGGGACTTATGTTTAGAACATTCCATTTTATCCATTGTCTTTCTTTATGTTTTTATAGTTGATAAAGTTCAAAGCTTGCTAGTGCCTATGAAATTCCCGATACATCACCTGGCCCTGAGCTGTGATAACCTCACACTCTCCGTGTGCATGATGTCCAGTGAATATGGTTCCATTATCGCTTTTTTCGATGTTCGCACATTCTCAAATGAGGTAAGCTACTGGGACCTGAGGTTTCCTGGTGTTGAATCTTAACCTAGAAATTCTTGGTTGGCCCTGGAAGCCTTTCTAGATTGAAATAAGGGTTTTCGTTTTTGTTTTTAAGTTCTTAATTGTGGAATCATAGATCTTTGAGGTTGAAGGGACTCATCTATCTTAAGGTATTTTCATTTTTCATTTACATATGAGACAGCCGAAGCCTAAGGAGCCTTAGGTGACTTGCCTAAGGCCACTGAGTTAATACAGAGTTCTTCTATCCCCAGCAGTTTAGTAGTGATGATAGTCTATGACATTGAGCTTTGACGCTGACCGTGTGCTTTACATGCCTTTCCTATTCTTGCCTACGGGGCCTTATACAGTAGATACTACTGTCTTTATTTTATAGATGGAGAAAGAGGCCCAAAGAGTTTAAGTAACTGGGTCCAACACCGTTAAGGAGCAGATCCCAGATCTTAATCTCGTGTCTGCCCTTTATTATTTTGCATTGGTGTATCCCCTGCTGAGTGGCCTTCTACTGTACTAGAATAATTGATTGCCCCTTTCAAAGCCCTGTTGAAATTGTAACAAAGTGGTTGTGTAGAGCTAAATTTTTTTTCATGGTCATGGAGCAAAGTGGACTGTAATTGGAGAAAACTTACATATTCAGTAATTTTCTTTAACCGTTAAATGTCTTTGTATTTATTAAGCTTCTGGGCATTTGTTTTACAAGGCGAAACAGCAGAAACGCCCGTTTGCCTATCATAAGCTTTTGAAAGACGCCGGCGGCATGGTGATCGATATGAAGTGGAACCCCACTGTCCCCTCCATGGTGGCAGTTTGTCTGGCCGATGGCAGCATTGCTGTTCTTCAGGTTACAGAAACAGTGAAAGTGTGTGCGACTCTCCCTTCCACGGTGGCAGTAACGTCTGGTGGGTAATAAGGCTTTCACTCTGTAACGTATAGTGATGGTGACCTGTCTAAAAATTAATTTCTGGGAAGAAGAGCAGATGGGCATTTTGTTGTATTTGTTTGGTAGGATTTAACTTGCATGCGCTTGGGTTTTCTGGAGAAAAATATTTTGGTACAACTGGTTTAGAACTGTGTTTTTGAGAATATTTCTGCATCTAAAATAGTTGTACTCTGAAAGTGCTTTGTGCCCTTCGGGGTAAAGACATTAGAAATACCAAATGAGAGCAAGAGAATGATTTGTTGATACTTGAAAACCTTCTCTATTCCCATGTCTTATCTAAAGACTACAGAGATTTGCGTATTTCCCAGCTTCCTGGGCAATACACCATTTAAAAAGCATTTTTAGTGGGTGATTTAGTGGCCCAGTGATAAATCATAATTGGCTTCAAAATGACCTTTTTTTTTTACTTTGCCGAGTAAGGATGAGCCTGCGGTCTTCCATGACTGACAGAGGGACAAGAGGGACAAGAAGTGATTACGTAGCTGCTTCGGTGCAGATCTCACTGGTTTGCTCCATTTTCTTCAGTTTCTAATTGCTAGCATTCTCTTCTTCACCCAGTGTGCTGGAGCCCCAAAGGAAAGCAGCTGGCCGTGGGGAAACAGAATGGAACTGTGGTCCAGTACCTTCCCGTAAGTCTTGCCTTGGGCTTCAGAACTGTTCTTACCGAAGTTACCCATGGCCGTAGGGGTGGTTTGGGAGTATTTTGGGTGTTTCTTCTATTAAAATGTTATTTATGCTCATTGTAACAAATTCGTCAGTACACAAGTAAATGTAGGAACAAGGGGATTTCTTCCCTTTTAGCCCCTAGTCCTCCTTCCAGAGGCATCCTCTGTGTTCTGTTTAGCGGTACCCTTCCAGAATTTTTTGGATACTTATTCAAATAGTTTATGTGTGTATGTGTTATTTTCGTTTTTCTTTTTAAATAAAATGTGATCTTATTCTACACATGCTTCCCCAACTTTATGTTTCCAATACATTCCATAAAAACAGCTTAAGGGGACAAGGAGTTGGTGAAAAGGCTATTACTGTAATGCAGAGTATTTGTCCCCTAGCCGAATCCATCTTAAAGATCCAGTTTCTCTAGCTACAGGCAACAGAGAAAAATGGAGGGTGCTTGTTGTTGCAGATACACTCTGTCTTCCTCTTCCTGTGGTCTTCCTGAGATAATATTCACAAAGATTCTTCAATACGAATTAACACAGCATCCCCCTATGTTTGGTCAAGCCTGGATGGGAGGGGGTGGTTCCCAGGCAATGCCAGGACCTGTGCTGTTGTGCATTCCTCCTGGAGATGCTGTTCTCTGCGAGAGTGCAGAGCGGTGAATGTTGGGATATAGGTTTGAGGTTAGGATTTTGTTTCTTATTTGTTATCACAAAAATTTGTTATGTGAATTTGGTACATATTCTTACAGGACATGAGCCTGTAAAAGGGTAATATAACTGGTTTAATTCGTTGGTTTGCTGTTTGCTTTTAATTTTTTTAATTTTTTAAAATTAATTTTTTTAGGCGAGGCAACCCTTGGTTGACCTCACAGATTGCAAGGACCTTGTCAGCTTACAGTCCCTTATTTTTTATTTTTCACACCTACAGCAGCTGGTCTTCCTAGGTGGTCTCCCATCCAAGTACTAACCAGGCCCCACCCTGCTTAGCTTCCGAGATCACTGCTTTTAATAATATATTGGAGTCCTTTTTCCAACTCCTTACATAGAGAGCCACTTCATACTTTTGAGTGGCTGCACAGCAGTTCACTGTGGATGTGCCATAATTTAATCACCAGTTCCATAATTATGGTCGCCTGGATTGGTATGAGTAGTGTAGCTGCTATACATGAAGTCACGTTGAGCATCCTCATTACCTGTATCTGAACACGTTTGTCTGAGTATTTCTGTAGAATAGTGTCCCAGAAGTAGGCATCCACTCTTCTCTGTGTTCAAGCTGGGGAGGTGAGACTTAAGTGACTTCTAGGGGAACATATTGGGTTTGATGGTTTTGTCGATTTGGGGATTGTTTCCTCTGACCCTTATTTTTTTCAAATCTCTTTCAGACTTTGCAGGAAAAAAAAGTCATCCCTTGTCCTCCGTTTTATGAGTCAGATCATCCTGTCAGAGGTAACACACCTGCTTTTCTTACTGGGCTGACCTCTGATGACATGCTGTCTCTACTAGAAATTTCCAATCCTGTGATGAACCTACAGACCCACTCTGGGATGTGTTGGTGCCTCCTCTGAATACTCTCATTATGTCAGTTAGCTAATTAAGTCACTGTAATAATAATCTAGTAAACACCTGTGTCTCATGGTAAATGACATTAAATGGACCCTGATTTTTTTTATTAGAATTCTTCATAATTTGCCCTGATTCTAATCCACTAGAAAAAAAAAAAAACTACCTTTTTAGGATAAATTTGGGCTTCTAATCAATGAAATCCGGATCTTCGTTAAAGCTACAGTAGTTGGGTTTCTGTGTGATTTATCAGATGCTGATTTTGTAATGTGCAGGGGCGATTGCAGACCCCATGTGCTCTCTTGGGCTGTGTGTCTTTCAGTTCTGGATGTGCTGTGGGTCGGCACGTACGTCTTCACGGTAGTGTATGCTGCCGCGGACGGGACCTCGGAAACGTCTCCGGACGTGGTGATGGCTCTACTCCCGGTTCGTATACGGAAAGGACGTCTTCGTTCTCTGAGAATTCTAGAGGTCTTCTGATAAAGTTTGAGGCTTAGGCTGTAGTTTCCTTTTCTTCTTGGTAGTGGTGTGGAAGTTCGGGTGTACGATTTCAGTGCTGCACTGCTGGCCTGGGGTCCAAAATTATGTTACCAGACCAAGCGTGGCTCTGCCCGCCCGCCCGCCCGATGCACAGCAAAGCCAAACCCTGAACGTCAAGGTTTGCAATGGAGAAAGTAAAGCCATTTTATTCGCAGGTGCCTGCAAGGAGAATGGGAAGCTGTCGTTTAAAACCTGAACTCCCCAGTGGCTTTTAATCATGAGTTTTTAAAGGCAGAGATCGAGGTTCGGGTTGGGGGAACAGGCTGGTGTGCGTTAGCGCTGGCGGTGCGGGTTTTGACTGGAGACAGTTGGAACTTGGCCGTTTACGGTAAGATATGGGGCGGGGCTTCAGCACCGGATCTTACTGCACAGCAGGCCCTTCACTTCTGATGGGTTCTGGCGTTCAAGTTCTGGTCATGTTTCGGTCCTTGGGCTCCGTGTCAGGGGTGAGAGATTCCCAGTTGGTTCCCCAGCTGGAAGGCAGAGCTCTCTCCTCTGTGCATGCCTTCAGTTTTGGTTCGTTGTCTCTGAAAGGCAGCTCAGTACCTTGTTAGAAACAGGAAAGGACCATTTCGAGCTGGTTCTGTGGTTGCAGTTATGGTGTCCACTTAGAGCATGTTCTACTGTAATCATAAGTGGAAAATATCATAGAACTTGCTTTGCATAAGCTGTAAACCGAGTCTTGGTAGATGTTAATCTGATAAATTTTAGGAAAGCAAGAGAACATCTTGATTTTTAAAGTTCTTTCACTTATTAATCCACAGGTATGTATCAGATGCCTACAGTGTGCTGAACGCTGCTTTAAAGCTGAGAATACAGCATCCTTTTGTGGATCTTACATTCTAATGAATGTGCCAGTCAAAAAATAAGCATAGGATCAAGGAATGATAAGGGTGATAGAGGAAATAAAGCAGGGTAGGAGAAGGGATAGATGATGACCGGGGTGCAGTTTAGATCGGGGAGGCCTTCGAGGAGGAGCTATTTGAGCAGAGAAACAAATGAAGTTAGGAAACGAGTTATTTTGAAGTCAAAGAGTTAGGTTAATAAGGTCTACAAAGTCCTATCAAATTGCAGTGGCATTTTAAAAAAAACGTGGCAGGGCTTATAGTCCCAAATCTCATTAGCTTTCAAATTCCAAAAAAAACATTTAAAAATACAAAAATGTCTAGTCATTCTGTTTTGCAACCTTGTTTTACTTGGTAGTAAACTACAAGCATCCTTCTAAAAAATAAAATCTGAATTTGGCTTTGGACAGATAATCAATTTAGCTCTTTTTATTCTTTTGGATTCTTGATACAGTTGAATTTTTTAAAATTTTTACAGTCGAGCTCCGCCGAACTACAGGGATACGCTCTGAGAAACGTGTCGTGTGACATCACAGCACACTTAACGCAGACCTAGCCTATATGATGCAGCCTGTTGCTCTGTGGGGGAGGAAGAATAATTTTTCCTCTATTCTCCTTGATTCTCAGCTAAGACATCTTTGTAGTAAAAGATTAATAGGAGAAAAAACAAACAAAGTTTAATAACATATCTCTTGTATTCATGGGAGAGACCCAGGAAAACTGAGTAAATTGGTCAAAATGGCTGAAGCTGCCACCTTAAATACCGTCTTCAGCTGAAAACAAAAGAAGGTGTTGGCGGTGGGGGAGTCAGCTTTGAGAGGTGACCAGGAAAAGCACAGTGAACACGGGGAAAGTGTTATGCAGATTTACGCGGTTGTCTCTAGAGGGAAGAGATTCCTGGGGTAGGGTCGTCCCCGCTTCCTGGTACAGCCCGGGAGAGGGGGACACCCCCTTACAACTGTAAATATGTGTTCCAAGGGCTAACTTGGTTTTCAGAGCTTCTCCCGTTGTCTACTGTTTTTTAAAACTGATTAGGTTTCAAAAATCCTTATGCCAGATAGACATATTTTGGGGTAACGAATTCTATTCCCCTGCAGCTCCTAGGTTACAAACTTGTAGAACATGTCACTATACTGAATACTGTAGGCGGTTGTAACCCAATGGTATTTGTGTAACGTGTTGCACTACAGAGTTAGGATGGCTAAGATGTTAAGATGGCTACGATGTCACTAGCTATCACTTGCCAATAGGAATTTTTCTACTCCACTGTAATTTTATGGGACCACGGTCATTATGTGGTCTGTCATTGACTGAAATGTCATTGTGCAACACAGGAATGTATTGCTATGCCTTATTCAAGGTATCGTTAGGGTTTTCTATTCCCAGGGATAACGTCCACGTACTGAGCGAGAAGCTTTATATGTATCATTTCATTTCACACAACAGCCCTTGACGTACATTGGGTGGGTTCATTCTGCACACGAGAAGGAAGTGTCAGGTTGAGCGAGGTGTCCATGCTTGTCCAGCGGCCTGAGAGTGACAGTTCGAATTCGTTTTGGCTGGTGGCCATCATTCCTATTTCTGACACTACTCACTGCTGCCTTTATATGGTGTCTATATTTAGAAATAGATTTTTGAGTGAAAAAACTTAAATGGTTAACTGTGTAGGATTAAAGAAAAATCACACATGTGATTTTTTTTTTTCTCATTCTGTTCACTGTAGAAAAAAGAAGAAAAACACCCAGAGGTGTTCGTGAACTTCATGGAGCCCTGCTACGGCAGCTGCACCGAGCGGCAGCATCGCTACTATCTCAATTACGTCGAAGAATGGTGAGCCGAGAACCGGGAAGCGCGTCTCCTGAGTCACTTCGTTCCACTTTGAAGTTTTTTCTGTTAAGAGAGGAAAACAGAGGCGTGAGATGCCATGAGTATATTTTTAGCTGGTGCTAGATAGTGCCTTTCTGACTACTCCTTCCGATTCCCCAGTCTTGAATTATTTAGCTCAAACATGTGTTAATCTTTAAAAAACCTTTTTTTAATAAGCCTAGTGACAACTTAGGAAAATACTGCTATTTAATGAACATATTAAAAGTTGCCCTCTGAGAGCATGTTACCCTTTGAAAGACAGATTACTTGAAGCAAAGCTTCTCTAACTAGATGATTTTGTTTTCCTGGGAATTCCGACTTGGTTCTGTTGTCTTTGTCTTAACTCTAGGCAGTTGGCTAAGTCTCTAAGGTGAGACTTAGAGTTTATCCTGTGAACTGAAGAGTTAAGTTTTACATCTAAAGCCTTCTCACCTTTCTTGAGCCATGTAGAAAACCTTACCTTCCTCTTTGACATCTCAAGGAAATGCTCACCCATGTTAACTGCAGACTCAGGTCAAGTTAGTACTGTTGCTGTCTTTGACTTTAATTATCTTCCGGTTTTATTCTTTGAAGGGATTTAGTGCTGGCAGCATCTGCGGCTTCGACGGAAGTTAGTATCCTTGCTCGACAAAGCGATCAGGTAAATTCCTCGCCTTTGTCACTTTCAGGAGATACTTTTCTGAGAAGGATTTTGGAAAGAGTTAAGATGTTAAGATTTAGATGAGATCGCTTCCCTTTTAATGAGTTCCTGGGTGAGAGCAAAGCTTAAATGACAAAGCACCTTGGACCAGATGGCTTGGATATTGTACTGGGCAAACAGGTGTCAGAGTTGGTAATTTTTCAGTGTCGTAAAAATCTCTTCTGTTCTTTAGGATCCATCCACAGTCTTTGGCTTAAACCTACTATATACTCAACCTCCAACAAGAGTACACTTGGATATGTAGGAGGTGTTTCATGCCATATTCTGTTTTACCAACTTTATTTTCTTTCTGTTACTTGAACCTGTCCTTTATTCAATTAACTGTAACCCTCTTTGATTGTGGAAGAGAAACACTCAGATCAGTACCAAACTGTGACTCACCAGAAATACTTTCTGTTTCACTTTGTCCTCCTCAGGGAGGAGGTGGGCTGAGGTGGCCGTGGTAAACTGTCCTAAACTGGTAGGTTATGCAGAGGACATGTGACGAGGGGAGACTTCTTTTTAAAACTCTGCCTTGAGTCCAGAAATGTTTTGTGTGCCCCATACACACATACTTGGGCCTCTTCACTCATTCAGCATTTGTCCATCATTCCATGGGTGGCAAGTACATAGTTCTCATAGTGTATAGGATGGACCACTTTGGGGTCATGGGCCACTTTGTGGTCATAGGCCACAATTCAGCAGTTTGATTGGCTGCTCTCAAATTGACTTCAGTAACAATTTCCTAGTAGTACAGATATTTTATGTAGTCATACATTAAGAATATACTTTCATCTTTGCTTTTTATCAAAATAATTTATGTACATGGGTAAAAAAATAAAATAGTAGAGAAGGGCTTACACATGAAAAAAACCAGCCCAGCCCCACCCTGGCCTGATCCAGTTTCGTTTTCTAGAAGGAACCATTTTTAACTTAGAAATTTTTTCTTCTAATGGTTACCTCCTTATCCCTGCTTTATCGTGAGGTATTCGTTATTAGTTTTAGACCTTACCGGCTGTTATGGCAGATGAGGATGTAGCTCATGTGTAACTTTCAGATCTCCCTTTCTTCCTCTCAGTGGGGTTATTGCACTATTTTAGTTGCTTCTATTGGCCAGCTTTGTAACTTTCATGTTTTTGATCCTCATTTCTGGTGGCATCACCATGTACTATACCCTTGACCTTCTACTTTGTGAGAGGAGTGTCTCAGCACCCCCACCCCCGCCTTTAGCTCATCTTCCCCACCCACCTTCCAGCTGCTGTCGTCTGTGTCTCGTCTTTCAGAATATCAAAACTGATACCGTTTGTGTTCTGTTCTCTGGTGATTGTCCTCTTTATTTTGTCTATAGGCTGTTTTTCAAAGTTGAAATCAGTTTTGTTTACATTATGAATAGGACTGTTATTCACTCCATAGCTAAGTCATGGAGTATAATTATGTTCCCTTCCCTGAACAGCTTTTTGTTTTTCTGTTACTCATCACTTATTTCCTTTTGCCCAGTTTTGGTCAACACTGAAAGTTAGACCACATGTTAATGATTTTTAAAAATCGGAAATCATTTGTTAGAAGGAACAGGCAAATTTAAGCAAATTCGGGGTTTATTGGACTTAGTGGTTTCTCAAGGAATCCAGAGGCAGGAAGATGGACCCACGTGGGGAACGCACGCCAGGAAGTGGGAAGACAAGCACTGAGGCTGCCTTCTGTCTGTGGCCGGGAGCACAGGCATCTGGCCAGCTTCATGGGCTCCTCTGCTCAAGGCCACAGTAGAGATCAGCTAGAGATCCGGTCCCGATCCCAGACTTCTAGGAGCGGGTCTGACTGGCCTCGTGCAGCTGTTGGTTTTACCTACCAGGTTCAAGATTCTCCCTGGTTTGGTGGGTGGTCCGTATTTATTCACAAGGTATGGATTGGTGCACCAGGAACAGATAGAGAAGTTGACTTGGACAGCCAGTCCCCTGCTTGATGGTGTACGCATGGCTTTTAGAGCATCCTCCCAGATTTCAGAGTCTGTCCACAATAAATCCGAACCACGGGAGTTGTCTGTTTCTTCTCTCACATTCAAACAATGCCGGGAGGGGCCAGTGCAAAGCTCTGACTAACACGGCGTTTTCTTCTACTCTTTTTTTCCAGATTAATTGGGAATCTTGGCTCCTGGAGGATTCTAGTCGAGCTGAACTGCCTGTGACTGACAAGAACGATGACTCCCTGCCCGTGGGCGTTGCCATAGATTATACCAACCAAGTGGAAGTTGCCGTCAGTGAGTGTAGCTCAATGTAGCTTAGTGAGAAGTCGTCTGCTTTCTAGTAATGGTTAATATTGACATCCAGTTCTGCCTGTTCATGACAGTCCACTCTGCTGAGCACTCTTAACTTCTGGTAGCACGTTTCCACTTAAAAAGTGATGTGGAGTCCACTATGACAACACTCAGCTGATGTGAACAGACACTGATCGATGAGAGCAAAGCTGGTCATGTTCTGTGCCCGTCTCTGTATCCATCCATAGTGCTTTAGAACATGATCGAATCCAGAACGGCGGGGAGGGGAGTTGCGCAGTTTTGTGTCTTGGCCCATTCCAGTTCCCCGGTGACCTCTCGGGAGCCATGCCCTGGGCCGGCACGGGCATCAGTTCTTGGTTAGAGGGCTGTCCCTATCGGGCATCGTTATGCTCCTCATCCTTCCATGGTCAGGTCATTTGGTCTGATTCGTTCATTTACTTGGATTCTCTGAAGATTCACATGACAAAATCCATGCTTACCATTCAGCCGTGAGTGTAAAGTGGTTTGGCTCACGTTTCCGTGTCCCACTGTGCGTTTTCCAAGGTGTCTAGTCTGTCATCTTCCTACTAAACCAGCCACTTCCTAGAGACTCCTGTCTCACTTAAGGGACGCCAGCCCTCGTTCGCATGCCGAGATGCCCGGAGCAGTTGAGGGTACCCTGGGGGTAGGGGTGCCTCCAGCAGGGCCTGGCAGGATGGTGGCACCTGGTCATGGCAGTAGCTCTCTTCAGAGAGCTGTTGCAGGACAGGCTGTTCAGATCCAGATTAGAACGAAGCGACTCGGACTGTCGTTGGGGTGGATCCATGAAGCCCCATCTTGCTCAGGGCGGGCTTCTGCTTCCGGGTCAAGGCCCTTCCGTTGACCCGGCTCTCTTTTCGCTTGTTTTCTTCTTTAACAGATGATGAGAAGACTCTTCCTCCAGCTCCAGTTCTCATGTTACTTTCAACAGACGGTGTGCTTTGTCCATTTTACATGATCAATCAGAATCCCGGGGTTAGGTCCCTCATCAGAACACCAGAGCGGCTCTCAGTGGAGGGAGAGCGACAACCCAAGTCGTCAGGTACGTGTGTCCCCCCGGGGCAGGATGGGACTGCCTGAGCTTGTGCAGGACTATTCCCGAGGACGAGCGCGTGCAGGAACGCGTGCTGGTGACCGACACGGCAGCCTTTCTCGTTGCGTCGGGACTCGGCTTCTCCGTGAGCACACGCACATGCTTGACTTCACTTTAGAGGAAGCTCAGCCGGTGGGGTCCCATCGAGTAATTTACCAACAGTGTCCTCTTACAAAGACCCTGTATTACATGGTCTGAATCAAAGACACGTTCAATCCTGAGGGATCGGTTAAATAAACGATTGTACGTTCATACAGTGAGTGCCGTGTCACTATTAAAAAATGTTATATATAGTGACAGGAAAAGAGTTAGTGGACTATGTCATGAAAAAGTGCTACATAACGTATGATTCCTTTTTTATGAGAAAACATATACATAGAAAAAAGATTTCAGAGGTGAATTTTACAGTCTAGTAGTTATTTCTGGGCACTGGGAAAATGGGAATTTTCTTTTTTATGTCTAATTTTCTTCAGGTTTGTTTTCTTTGAAAGTATTGCCCAAGTAGTGTATGTTTGTTGGAATAAAATTAGAAAAACAAAAACAAGATCACTTAAGGGCCTGTCATCAAGCCACAGCCAAGGTCAGCATTTGGCTCTTCATGCGCATAAGCGCACACACACACAAATGCTCATCTGTTATTTTCAAATTTTTTAGTGTCATATCATTTCTGAGAATAAAATATAACTTTTTCAGGGAGATTGTTTCATATTTTGAAATTTCGCTAATATTTTCCTTTTTGAATTCTGTGAATATATAATTGTTAAAAATTTCTCTTTTCGTGTAGCTAAAAATGCTTCCAGTATAACTAATTTCATATCTAAGAAAAACTGCATTGACCAGTTGGGTCGGCTAAGGTTGACAGTACTTAGGGTATTTCTTCTTGCTGCTTCCTAACACAGAGTGAGTTGTGTGTCATCAGTAGAGCCAGATACTTGGCCTGTGCATCCCCGAGTGATAGACCAGGAGGCTTGCATAGGCTGCATCAGTGTTGTGTGGGGATATCTCATTATCTACCATATGTGTACTCGGAGTTGTGTTGCTTTGTTTTCCTTAAGTGGTCGTGAGTACCACTGACTCCTACACGCGCGTGCCTGGTTCGCCTGTAACCAGCAGTGCACCCCGTGAAGTTGGGAGCCTCTGGGAGGACGTTTGTTTCTGAGCTCAACTCAGTGCGAGGGACTTTGCTACTGGCCCATTACACCCCCAAGCACATGCAGAGGCCGGTTTTACTGTTCACTTTTCCTAGAGAAACGCCTTCTTCCCTGGTGCTTGATCCAGAGGTAACAGCCATGTTCACGTGAGTGGAAGAGAGCCAGGAAAGGGGAGAAGGCATCCCATCAGCTCTAGCTCGAGCCTCGCTGTGGGTTCAGAAGACATAGATGGTTTCGCGTTCCCAGGGGTGCTGGGTTGCGTGCTCAGGGAGAGAGAGCAGTGTGATGGTTTTCAAGTGTTTGGTTCTGTTTTCAGTAGGGATGGGCCTGATTTCTTTCTGCTCTGGCTCATGCTTTTCACGTTGGTGTACCAGATATGCACGGAGGTGACTGACGTTTACGTGTGTGCGTTTTTAAAGAAGTTAGTTGTCGCTGGTTCTGTATTGTATAAAAGAAGTGTTAACAATAGATTCGCTTGCATTATTATGCTTTCAGAAAAGTGACAATTCAGAAAGCACCGTTTTCATACTTGTATCCTAAGTGTTTCATTGCTATAGACATAGTGAACTAAACTCATCTCAAGACAATTTGGAGGAACCAAGACCCATTAATGTAAATACAGTGATAAAAAATATTGCTTTCTTGTTTAGTTATTTAATTTAGAAAATCAACATGTTTATTTTATAGAAAGTTTACAAAATAGAAAAAAATTTAAAACTGCCTTTTGGGGTATTCTCTTCCAGTGTTTTTTTGTAAACATCTTTCATATTCATATTGTACATATCATTGCTATGCAGATTTATAACATGTAAGCATTTCATGGTTTCTTACACAATCACAATTCATTTAAAAGAGTAATTGCTTAATATTCCATTGAATATCTTTTACCATTTGGGTTATATTAAATGTTTTTAATTTTTTTGTGTTATTTTCATAGGGTTTATTCTTAGAAGTTGGACTCTTACCGAATCCATTTTTTATGATTTTTTGAGACATAATGCTGAAATGTTTTCTAAAAGACTGCTAAATTCAGTACCCAGTAGTGATAAAAGGTTTCAGGTTCATTTTACCCTTCCAAACATAGGAGATTATAGATAATTACATTTTGGTAATTTAGAAGACAAAAATATGCCTCATTTAAATTTACCTTTCTGTTAGAGAGATTGAAAATATTCTTTTTGTGAATCAGCTTCTCAGCTTGTATCTGTTAGTCTTGAAATTTTTTTAATCTTGATTTGTATGATCTTTCTAGAAAATATGAAACATTGTCATTTGCTGCAGATTTTTTATAGTTCATTTACCTTTTGGTTATGTAACTTTTTTTATATAACCAAATCTTAATCTTTTTTTAATTTTTCTTAGTTTTTTCCTTGTGTGATTTCTTTTCGCTTCTAAATTTATTAAGTTGTTAGACTCTCAGATACTTCTGTCTCCTTTACTTTGAGGAATAGTATATGTGCACTTTTTGAGTAATTTTTTTTCAGTTACAGTTGAAATTCAATATTATATTATATTATATTTCAGGTGTACAGCATAGCGTTTAGACATTTATATAATTCGTGAAGTGATTTCCCCTGATTAGTCTAGTACCCACCTGGCACCATACATGATTATTACAGTATTATTGACTGTATTCCCTATGCTGAATTTTTATTTCTGTTTTTATAGATAGCTTTAATTCATCTGTAATTGTTTTTCGTGACCATTATGAAGTAGAGATCTGAGTTAAAATTTTTTCCTGATTGTTAATGAAATGTTGCAGAATGACTTCTTTTTCAGTGCAACGTTGAGAAGTGCATTTTTTCTATATTATTCAGCTGGGTATCCATGAAGTCCTGTCACTCAGTCTAATAGTGTCTTTCCCCATTTCCTTTCTCTTAAAAGTTTTCTACACCTCATCACAGAACGTTTGTTAGGGAAAGTGCACCATCAACTCCATTTCCTTTTTTTCTTTTTTCTTAGTGAACTAGGACCATTGTTTCTGGCTTCGTTCAACTACAGACCCATTTCCACTTGCTTTCTGTTATGGAGACCCCTACCGTTAGTGTTAACTTCTTCCTTCTCCATTGTTTTCATTGCAGGAAGCACTCCCACTACCCCAACCTCTCAAGCCCCGCAGAGACTCGACGCTTCAGCAGCTGCAGCTCCCGTCTCTGTTCCACCTGCATTGCCAGCTGCTTCCACCTCCACCTTCTCTTTGCCTTCTGTCGTCGGAGCGGCCCCCGTGTTCTCCTTTGGTTCTTCATCCTTGAAATCATCTGCTTCTGTCACCGGGGATCCCCCTCCCTATTCCAGTGGCTCTGACAATTCCAAAGCAGCTCCGGGCACTGGCGCACCCCCCTTTTCTTTTGCTCCTCCTTCTCAAGCCTCCCTAGTCCCCACCACTGCGGCCTCTCCCATGGCACCGTCACCTGCTCCCTTCTCCTTCGGATCATCGGGTTTTAAACCTACCCAGGAAAGCACACCCATGCCAAGCGCGTCCGCACCGAACATTGGAATGAAGCCCTCCTTCCCACCTTCAGCCTCCGCAGTCAAGGTCAACCTGAGTGAGAAGTAAGTGACACTTAAAGTTTGATTCTTTCATGGAGGCTGGAAGTAGCACATGGCATTCACTGAAAACAGAACCACTGTGAGTGGAGTTACTGAGCGGAGTTACTGAGCAGATTTTCGTTTTTTTCCTGTTTTCCAAAGTAATGCGAGCAAATGGTAAAAATTCAAATAACAAAATATTTGCATTTCATCAGTGGACAGTGTCCAGAAGGGTCTCTTAGAATTTTTTTTTAACTCTTAGAAGTTTGTTTTTAAATGTTTGTTTTGCTTTTTCAAATTTCAAATGTGGGAGATATTTTGCCTCTTTTTAAAAAGGCAGCAACAGAGTATGCATCCTGTAGGGGACATGAGTCTCTGTGGTCATTTCCCCCGGGCTTTGTCCACCCTTGACTCTCTGAGCTGTTTTCTGCGGAGCCACCAAAGTGATCTCGTGAAATTGTAAATACATCAGATGACTCTCCTGCTTGACAGCCCCCAGGGATTCTCTTTGCTCTTCGAGTCCGGACTCTTTAGCGTGATATTCCAGTTTGCTCTGGGTCGGGTCCTCCCAACTCACTCATGTTTTTCTTTTTGCTTCATTATCTGCTTGTCGTGGTCTCCCCACTGGAATGGAAGCTTCTCGAGGGAAGCGATCCCTTATGCCTTGTCACGCTTCCCCAGATAGCAGCCGAGTGTAAGCCCTGCCACCGTCTCCCACTCATCTGTACCGTCGCTTGTTTTCGTGGAGGTGGTGCTGGCTGCTGCCACCGCTACTGCCATCGTCGTCGTTAATATTAAATTGTCCCACAGCCACTTCATTCTGATCGTTGCCTATGTTCTATTTTGTGGCTGCGTTAGTTGATTTTCCTAGTCATCTAATGCTGGATATTTAGGTTGCTTACAGACATTTGCTCTTTAGGTGAACCTCACATTCCCGTAGACTGCAGACATCCCCAAGATAGCGACCTGCTTTCCAGTTCTTTTTCACTGATCCTCAGAGGAAGTGATCACCTCAAAACGAGTTCTCAATCATTTCTTTAGCAAAAAGGGAGTACTAAACTCTCCTGAGTATAATCGAGTCCCACCCTCTTTTGTTTTTTTCCTGGGCTCACTAGAATGGAAAATAGGTATTTCAGATCATGATAAACTTAGTTTCATTTTCAAGTACTTATTTGATGTTTTTCACTGAATAAGTCATTATTAAACAAGCGGAAGATAAATGTTTCCTTTCAGCTTTCAGCTTTTATAAGAAATAGCTAAACATTTATCCTTTTTTGCCCTTTTCTAAATTTTTATTTTTCAGTTACAGGTAACATTCAATATTATATTAGTTTGAAGTGTATAGCATAGTGGTGAGACATTTATATAACTTACAAAATGATCACCCGTAAGTCTGGTACCCACCCGGCACCCTGCGTACTTTCTACAGTAATATTGACTATTTTCTGTGGTGTGATGTGTACATTTCTTGACAGCTAAAAGGTATGGATAGTAAGTTACTCTTTGATGTTACTGCTCGTGACCAGCATAAAAGAATCTTACAGCAGGCCATTCTGATGCATTCGGGCTCCCGTTTTCAGGTTTACTGCCGGGGCTACCTCTGCTCCTGTTAACAGCCCACAGAGCACACCCTCCCTGCTGCCATTCTCCCCTGCCTCCAAGCCAGCCTCTTCGGGACCTCTCGGCCACCCCACGCCCCTCTCAGCATCATCCAGTTCCATGTCGTCAAAGTCCTCAGTATCAGGTATGATTTTAAGCAAACCACTCTAGAGCTCAGTCCTGAATTATCAGACTAACATTTTTCAGTTGTTAAGAATCCTAGCTAACATAGTTGGACTAGATTATTTTTTGTCGCGCTCTGTATCTCACACTAATTTTGCTGGCTTTCATACTCTGAATTGGGAGGACGCGCAGTGGCCTCAGTGCTGCCACGCCTGTCCCCTGACATTTCTTGTGATGTAAGTGAACTTGATGATTCAGAGGAGGTAACTTGTTGAGCACTTAGTGAACTTGATGATTCAGAGGAGGTAACTTGTTGAGCACTTATCTTCACGTGGAGCCCGCCCTATGCGAAGGGCAGTTACAGAACAATTCTTTAAGCCGTGTGGAAGTTGCTTCTGGTGACTGTCTTTTGATTTTCATACTTGGCCGTACTGTAAGCAAATTTACTAAGTAAAGATCATGAGTGGAAATATTGTTATAGCCAAGGTGGATTGAAGTGCATTATAAAATTCCATGAGCAAAGGAACCTAGCCTATCTTTTTTTCTATCAAACCCAAAGAAAGGTTGCAAAAACTTGTATGATGAATGCTGTGTCCTTCACTAAAATTGAATACTTGCTAACATTTGCACCATTTGCTTTATCTCTTTCTTTTTTCTGTACATTTTTCCCTGACATTTTGAGAGTTAAATGCAGACATCATGCAACACTTCACCTTAAATACTTCAGTACGTATGTCCAAAAAACAAGGGCAATATACAATAAACACAGGAAATTTAACAGTAATCTCATCTGCCAAGCAATATACAATATATTGTTAAACACAGGAAATTTAACAGTAATCTCATCTGCCACCCATATTCACATTGCCACAATTATCCCAATAATGTTTTGCATAGCTTTTTCTCCTTTCAAGCCAGGAACCAATCAGGGATCACGTCATACTCTGACTTTGTCTCATTTGTCTCGGTCTCATGTCATTCTTCACCTTCTTTGTCTTTCACAGCATTGACCTTTGTGAAGAGGTCAGGCCAGTAGTTTTGCGGACTGTCACTCAGTTTCAACTCGATTTTTTTTCACGTGATGAGATTCAGGTTAAACGCTTTGAGCAATTGTACCATGTAGGGTGATGTGCCTCACGTCACATGATTTCGTTTTGTCCTCACATAAGCGATGTTAATTTGGTCACTTGGTTAAGGTGGTGTTTGCCAGGTCTGTCTCCGTTTTTAAGTTGATTATTTTTATGGTTGCCAGCGATAACACCTAGGCAGACATATTTAGGTAGCCATTTGGTGTTTGAGTGTCGAAAATAATTTTGTTTCGGTAAATACCAAGCAAGCATCAAGCTATGAAATTCCTGAAATCATCTTTTCTTACTTGTTGCTTAAGAGAAAGGGCTGCTTTGTGGAGTTTGCCAAGGTCACCACTTTCCAGGACTTTTCATTAGATTCTGAACGGCATCTGTAAGACCCAAAAAGTTAAGAAGCCTCGCCTTTGGCTCTTCACTTCTCTTTATGGCTTGGGAGAGAAAACTTGAATGTTAATGAACACTTACTTTTTCCCTTTCCACTGCTCCCCGCCCAATTCCTGAACAACACCG